TTTTTTGTAAAATTCTAGAGACACAGTCTGGCTAATCAAAATCCAAATTAATTTTCAACGCAAAATGGCGCCTTGCGATAATTTGCTGTTGAGCAGAAAAGGAGTGGGAGTGACCAGGTATTCGAAACCAAAATCTATGCCGTGGATGAAGTGAATGTGCAAAGTTACGACGAAATTGAAGTATTACAAGGACTCAATATGATCAATCTGCTTTGGAGAAAATGTGACAAGGAAAATTGAATGGGTAGTTGCTGGCCTCTTTATGTTATCACATCGGATTGTGGTTTGGAACACGATCCCAATCAGATGAGATTTGAATATCGCAGAGAAAGACAGAAGTGCGAAGAAATCAAATGCGGAAATTACAGGAGAACTTCAATGGAAACAAGTACGTTGACCACTACGCCACCTGTGCAATTAATCATTGCCTCAAGTATCCTCAACCTATTGCAAGAATTCGCATCAAAGCCGCCTGTGTGGATGTGTGTGTGTGATGCATCTTTAGTCAGAATAATTTTGAGTACATTTCATCTTGTATCCATCAAACATATGCCCCAGAACTATTCTAAGATGGAGGGATATTTACAGATCGCATGAATAATCTCCCTAATTTAATTTAGTAGCCAATCGATTCTGAGCACAGAGAACTTAAACCTTCATTCTAAAGTTAATTCGCAAATCAACTTGAGAAGATTGTGAGAAATCGCAAAGGCAGGACAACGAATGTAGAATAGAACACTACTCTTGTTATCTTCAAAATTTCATCCTACATCACGTCAGTCAAACTGAATGATTGAGATGTAGTATGCTGGAAGTATGGAGAACTAAGAACCTTGTTAGTTTTCAGTTTAGAAATGAAGCCCTTTCGCAATTTTAAATCGCTAATTAGTACAACGCTAAGCAGTAATAAATTTGCAAATTAATTCGTGTTGCCACGTGACAAATTTGAGATTCTAGTCAAAAGCATGCATTGCCTCGAAGAATAGTGAAGTAATTTTCGGTAATCTCTTATCTAAAATGAATTCGTTCAAGTCTTATGTTTAATAGTAAGCAAGAATTAAGTACACGTCATAAAAGTACCATCAATGTCATGGATACAATGAGTCAATTGGAACACCAATTACCGAGGTCAATATGAAGTTCTCTGAACAGATCAATTTGACGTAATGGTATTAACCAGAACACGCTCTTAATTAAACAAACGATTAAGCATTTCAATTGGTGATTGTGTGACATTGAAAGGCCAGTGTTTCTGTGGTCAAATATACGAACCTACTGTTTTTAATTTCTCATTGACAGGATGATTTATATGTGAAAACGCTTATTGGGAAGACAAATCAACAAAAATGCTTGATCAACACGAGTACCCACTTTCTGTAAGATTCTACTCTTCTCAATGAACATCAAGGACGTGAGGCTGTAAGATGTTAATTCATAAGATCGGGTTTTAGGAGTGCGCAATTTATGACATTGCAAATGGGATACTTTTAGTTGGGATATTGACATCCAGTTTTTTCTTCTACTTCTCAAACAGTCGATCGTTGCTCGAAACTACCCCTCATTTATCTTCTTCATATTACTGCTATTAATCGATGTTTTTTCTTGAATTTTCATTCGTTTTTCAATATCTCCTTTGTAGTTTTGATCTACTGGTTTTGTCTCCGTTAAAAGTACAACTTCAGCAGTTACGAATCCCAGATTATAGATGTAGGCAGATAGGTCATTTGAGTCAAGTATACATAACTGACAACACTGCTCACCTTTTCCTAGAAGTATGTACATTCGGTTGCAACCATCGGATTGAGTGTGCTTGACATGTGAAACTCAAGATTTCGAAAAGACATGAACGTTTCCTCTTTTAAGTCTCCGACATGAATACTTTTACTCCTCTCTCCCCCTCTCTCTCCCCATCTCTGTGAAACATCCATATTCTCAAGACCTTGTGGAAAACACGCCTCAGAATTATGATAAAATTTTGGATTTTATTATACCATGACACATTCACTTGACGCCAATAGTTAGCATTGAAAGTAGGAAAATCGAAGGTGTCTTAGAGTAGCGAATAAGCCCCATTAGCCCTTATCGATAGGAACCAATAACCTGCAAGGATAACAGGGAGAATGACTCCACAAAATTAAAAGAGTATTTTCATTTTGTAAGTGGTACAGACGTTTTCGGCTTGCCATTCACAGTTTGATTATGCGGAATACATAAGATGAGGCTGCACCCTGATTATTCTGTTGAGAATAGGCAGTATTGCAATCGAGGTGCAAGCAGCCTACTGGTGCTTATAGCCTTCACAGGCTGTGTCACTTTCCATTGTCTACTCGCAGAGTACGACGAATAAACGTGTCCCTAACCATGTCCTCAGACAATTCTGAATTTAAAACATGATTTTCAATCGTTCATTAACCACTCACAGCTCCAGATGAGAGTATATTAAAACTTGGCATTTAAAATTTGAAACATACATTTTCGAAGAAATAAATCACTTTTAACCATCGGGCCATCAAGTTAATCTTCGTGATTCCAGTGAGCCGATTGAATTATTTGGCCAATTAAGATGAGACGTAGAATCTTATTCAAGATCCTATTTTGCTTTCAACAGATTATTACTTCGTTTATATTGAAGTGATAACAGTTTCCTCTTCCTCACAGCTCTCGCATATTCAAAGATCCACTTGCGAGCACATTTAAATCCAACCAACCTATTTCCTGCTTGAAATTCTACCTTTGACCAAGGCACATGCTTTCATTAGTACCGAAATTGAGGTGATGGCACTTTAAGTGCCGTGTATATAATGGATGGACTTTATACAATTAACTTACCTGCACATTTAGCAATAGAGATTGCACTTTCTGGATATCATGTTGAAATTTAATTTAATTTAAGTTGGATATTTTTTGAAACTTTAATATCTTAAAGAGACATTTCGAAATCGAAAATTTTAGGCCAAGTAGGAAAACCGCTTTTCGTAAGCCTCGAAATTTTAGACACGCACATATCCAACTTTCGCAACGAATTGTAACAACGAGAAATTGTAACATAAATGACCTGATATGACAACAAAATTAGTTTAATCAAGTTGCTTTGACCTAGTAAATGAGAGCAATTTTAGCGCGATTAAGCATCTGTTAGGCCCGAATGACATAAAGGCCAACTAAGTCTACTGGTCTATTGAGACTGATTGGTACTCGATAATTCCATCTGACTACCCATTAAATTTTCTCTGCAATCAAAATAATTAATAACAACACGATTTGTATTAGTTTAACGAAGTAGGATTCTGTGTTCGGGAAAGGTAAATTTGCGGAAAGAAATCGTAATAACTAAACAACAACAGAGCAAGAACCATCTGATTTGGCCTCGAACATGATTGGCCCTAATCACCATGTAGAAAACTCATGAAGAAGTAATAGCTGCTCGAGTTCAAGTTAAGGTTGACGAAGACAGGAAAATAAAACACAGAAAACACAAAGTCGAACATTAATTTTATATAAACAAAGTTTTAAAAAGCGGAGTTATAAAATTAGAAAGTGAGTGTGAGCCTGAAATTGAGTTAAACAGATAGACACTGAGGCAAAAGCACACACACAAAGAAACCATGTATACGGGAACACAGACTCAAGTTTTGCATCGCGTGGGCATTGGATGGATGTGAATGAGTTAGAAGTAGTGAAATAGGTCCATGCGAGCCTTTTTTGCTGAGCATAATTGGAGCGCTCGGCAGGTTTTGGCGAAATTTGTATGGGTGAAGGAGGACGCGAATGAGAAGGAGGTGTAGAACGAGGAGGAAATGGAATCGGAGAATGTTGAGGAAGAAAATCGAATATCTCTAAACATAGCGTATTTGATCTTCAAAATTGAGCACTTATTTTTCCTAATGTGAGGGCATTGACAACAATTCTTTCTATGCACACGTGATCCACCTCGTTTATCCCTTTTTTTTGTTCACGGTTATACTTCAAGATGAAACTTGTAGATATTCCAGATCTCCACTTATTGACCCCTATCGAATCCTTAAAGCCTTTGGAATTTTGCCACAATTTTTTGGTGAGGTTTTGATTTCCTTCCTTCTATCAATTGGAAGATCCTTGGAGAAAGCATTTCATTCCCGTTATTTGAATTTCTCTCCATTTGCCTATTCACGTGAATTCCGATCACACGAATTGCGAGATTTCTCGAAATCCAAACGTGAAAACAGGTAAATAACCAGAAGACGAGTTGAACTCACGAGAGTCGTCTGTGATGCCAAATATCCTAATCTCCAAATCCACACATTTTGGTCGAGTTCAAGAGTGCCACAATTCTGTCCTCATAAATTTACTTCCTCACCAAGAGTCCTTCCAACAGCAAAGCCTTCATGTATGGAAGGGATGAATTCTGCTAGAAATACCATTAGCAAGAAAGAGCACTGTGCACAAACTCACCATTCGTGGCAAACAGCGTGCACATAAAGAATATTAGTTAATGCATTGATTCCTCGAGTTTGGTACTTTCACCCACTTAGGATTGGTTTAAAATAATAAACTCTTGACTCAACAAAGTCGTGACTCTTCCAATATTTATTTCATTCATCTTCATGATCTCCCACTTATAATATGACAGATTTCTCATTGAAAGATTGACAAAGCTGGAAGCTTTCTTGGCTCAAAACGAGCACTTTAAGGGGCCTAGTCTTTGCAGCGAAGTGATTTCATGACACTCGTAGTTCAGACCCAGATGGAAGAGTTTCTTCCACTTATCTGGACGAAGCATGGGCCAATTCGCTACATCCACTATAATACTCATCCACCTGTTCAGAGTGCAGTTGCTACGTGTTTATTGATGTCCACCAGTTGCTCCACCCTCAGCAGATAATTGCAATTCCCTCATTTTGCCATCAATCGCTAGATACGGAATGGACTCTATGATAGGGGAGGTTGAAAATTTTGTCGTTATTTGGGATCGAGTAATTTGAAAGTCTGCAGACACATTGTTATCAACTAGAAATCATTGGTCTCTTTACTATTTCCTTATTGCATGTATAAAGCCAATTGAGGGTTATGCATCTAGGTAATCTCAATCAATGAAATTGGTAATTTGACGTTGTATTCAAGTTATCAATTGGAGATGCCTTACAGCTACTGAAATACTAGAGTAAAGATCAGACTAGAGTGTTGTGTTCTTACTACCAATCCACTATTAAGTGCACTAATTAGTTTCCTCTATGCCATCTCCTTCTGTGATCATGAGGATAAGTCCCATTTAGCGTACACATGGTGATTTAGTCATAAATCACTCTCAGTGTTTAAAGTCGCCAAGAGATTTGCTGGAATGTGGGTTTTTTGCAGAATCGTATCCAGTATACTTCATTCTAGTCAATCCAAGCACAATGAGCTCAACACCTATTGGGCTTGGAAAGTTCCACATAACCAAGTTAAATATACAGCATTGGCGAGTTTTCTTCCTCAGTTAAGACGGTACCAATTGCGGTAAATTTGGTTGTGGGATGTGTCCGCTTGGTTAACTTTCAACAACACCGAAGAACTCGAAGTCAGTAAAATCTGAATAACGCTCGAATAGCGGATGAAATGTGAGAATAGTGAGAGAGTATTTAGTCAGACACAGATTAATTAATTTAATTTTATTGCAAGCCCAATCCGTGGCACATTTTTATGATTAACAGGTGATTAAGATTTTAATTGATTAATGATTATTTATGTTCACATTGCTCAGAACTGGTTGGCAATTGAATTAAATAAGTGAGGTCAATTGGTGTACTTCCATTTATACTCAAAATACGATAGTAGAATTTGTCAACAACATAAACGAAGCGCGTTTACCATCGGTAGGACGCGCACCTTGTCCGGTGCCACTTCGCCACTTCCGTCAACTTCACTAACTCAATACCTTGAATGGGAGATGATGCCGTGGATGTAGCTCCAGTGGAGTTAACACTGGGATTGATTCTGCCCTCGTCACCCCCGCTTCCATTCTCTTGATCTGACGTCACAGACGGAGACTCAATAGCTGGGGAGTTTTCAAGGTCACTGGACACACAAACGTCTGAATCTTCCTTATCGGCATTTCCATTAGCAGCAGGATGTCATGCGTCTGTCATTGACCCTGAATTTACTTGACCTACCCTTGGTCATCACTCTAAAATTCGGAACGAAACGGAAGAAATATTGTGATAGCTTACTGGCACCAAACCTCAAATTGGCGAGAGAACTTTGAATGATTTTAAGCCGCCAGGTCTGGAGGGGATCAGTGGTGTATGTGTTATAACATTAGCATTTCCTGCGCTGTCGTTCGCAGTTTAGGCTAATTATCATGAATATTAATATCATTCATTGGTGGTATGTCGAATTGATAACTCTTACCTCTACCTTACAGCTCTCGCACATTCAAAGATCCAAGCATGTTGTGTGGCCAACAACGAAACACACCAGTTAGTCTTCGAGGTGTGAGTTCAGTGGACGCAATCTACACATGCATATTGTTTGAGTAGTACTGATAAATGTCGAACGCGACAATGTGAAAAGTGGGAATGACCCCTTTTCACATGGCAGTATTAATCACCCACTGCTCCAGATGAAAGGAAGTTGAGACTTGTGATTCGCTGTCTTTAATGACTTACTGTTCTTAACCATTTCCCACTATTTCGTCCCTCGTTTGACTAGTTATGTAATTCCTTCAATCAAATGCTTCACCGTTATTGCAATTGTTTAAAACTGTTCAAATTGTATGATTTAATAAGCACACTTCGTTGATCTCTGTATTCCAACTCAAGTTAACCCCATTTAATTATATCAGATATAATTAATTAATAACATGCTTAAAATGCATTGGCAGAGCATTGAAAGACGGTCGAAATTTCCTTGATTGAAAACCATGCTGTTGTCATTCAAACAAGAAATTGGAATTCTCCGATCCTTCATGTCGAGTTGTTGGTCATCCAATGACCCCAGATCTACCAGACATGCACGCTCGTTTCCTTCTTTCACTGAAAGTGCACCAATGTGACTGCACTTTTTCGCTCTTAAATCTTTCACTCGACACAGCCAAGCTATTCCAACTATGGCTATTCGAGAAAGGTGTGTTCTTTGATCAATGCAACTTGATATTAAGAAAATGTCTCCGTTGTCACAGCAAAGGCAGTGTAACCAAGTCGTGAAATTTCAACACTTTGGCATTACACCATCTGAGTGAATTGATGAGCTCTGACAAAATGAACACGTACATTAGGTCGATTCGAACGTGCTTCAATGAGAGAGTACTTATTAAAACAAGGAAGAGGAATATAATGAGGGAGTTGTTGGGGAGGGGGGATGCGGAGGAAGTTGTGTTTGAAAATACGAGATTGGCGTCGATAATTTTAGAAGATACGAATTCTGAAATCGGAACTGATTAAATCAATACCTTCCTTAATCAGGGTGTCATTGCAAGCGAATGGGGTCAGTTGAAAGAGATTTACCATACAGAAATTAGCGCGAGTAAGCAGAGTGCTTTGATTGGTTGATTTGATTCCAACGATCCGTTGTCGCCATTGGTTGTTTAGTGAGAGAGTGTGTCGTTTCTCTCTATAAAAGGTCGTGAATTCAAGAGTTTCTCATTGTCATTCTCAACTTCATCAGTGTACTCGGTGAGACTGCTATTTCATTATCTAATGTGACANTTTTTAAAATAACATTACATTTCACTTTGAATTTTAGAATGGTGGCAAACAGTACGTCAAGTAATTCAGAAAGAGGGAAGGACTCGGGACGTCCTGTTGAAAATGGAAAGGCTGATCAACCCGAATCAGCACTTCGTAAACAACCGCTCCCAACTGTTGAATTGCCTGAGGTCAAAAAAACGGAACAACGAGGCAAAACACGTAAGTAAACGATGTTAACGTATGATTGGGAATTATCTTTCACCTCAATGTGGTTTGGAAGTTTTCCTTTGAGGCTACAAAAGTAGGTAAACGATGCCCATGGTTTAAATTAAGCAAGTAACTGGATTATAGGCACAAGACCTAAGACACACATAAACGCACATAATTTGTTGCCAATTAGAAATTTATACCACTTTCTGATTTATGACAGGGACTTCGCGGCTTATTGACGTTGCAATCATTCACAAGCACCTTGGAATACAGGTTGATTGCAAGAAGAAGAATGACCAACGTGTTGATGCAACTGGCAACACGAGGATGGCTGAAAAACGCCTGCCGCTACCAAGTAGTGAGTTTGTCATTAAAAGTGTGTTTTCCCCACCCATAATATTCCTTAAGTTGATTAACACTTTCACTCTTTTTAGAAAAAAATCCGATTGAGGCACGCAACGGTGTCTCCGAAATAGTTTCCAACGAACCTAATAATAGTGATCACGACAAAAGAGTTCCTAATGGAGAAGGTGAATTGCAGAGGAAAAGTGGGAACTTAAATAAATCACTGGAACATGAAAGTGGGCAGAAAATTCGGGATGAGAAGCATTCTGGTCACAAACCTGAAGCACAACCCTCGCCGGATTCAAATATTGTTATTATGAGTTCTGGCAGGTTTATTGTCATCTCTTCCGAGCCTAAGGTGGCCGTCTTTCCTCCTGGAAGTCAAATTCATCTTGGCGATCTAAGGCATCACTCTTTCTATACCTCTGGTTATAATATGTCAAATGATTCCATAGTGATACCACTTTATTATTCGGCACCCGTTTCCAATCAAACCACAGCCGAAAACAAACTTGCTCCTGAAAACACAGGACTTGAAGGTACATCTTGTTTCATATTCCGAAGCTTCCAAATTTTGCTGTTTCAGTCATAATTTCATGATTCAATTTCATTTCAGGGCAGCTTCCAGGAGATGGACCAGAAGGTGTAGTGAATAGTGGGTTGGCTAATGAAGATCTATCAACCCACACGTTCCCTCGTGGTTCGATTTTCGCTGTGAGCCATGATCAGCCACTTATCCTCCAAGATATTCAAGTAACAGCCATATTTTCTCCTAATACCTGGATCTATATAACTTGACAGTGCAATTTCCCTATTCTCCTTCGTATATACTTATTTACAATTCCATTTTATATTCGAGATTTACCTGAGCCAACTTCGAGTGTCAAACTCGTTTACTTGCCTTTCATTCTCCTGTGTCATCTATCAATTGGGTATCAACACCTCACTACCTTTGTATTCTTCCCCCCTCCCCCCATCCCACCAATCATCTTTTTTATGCCTTTTGTGAATAATACTACTGAAATAGTGCCAAGTACTACCTATTTTCTTGGAATCGGTTATTTTTGTTACGCGAACTTAAGGAGTGGTAGGTTTATTTGGCGGGCTAACACCTTTGCGTAGAATAATTTTAGATGCATGTGAATTGTCATGGAAGTATTAAGAGACGACAGAGTTCATACTGGCAGTTGTCGCATTCTGGCAATTCTGTAATAATGTCTGTCAAGTTGATGAACCCATGTTCATGGGATTGTCATCAGTTGAATATATTTCACTCAATTTCTAGTCATCTGCTCTGAGTTGAATATAGTCAAGAGGTTCTGTTAATCGGGTAACTGAATGTATGGAGAGCCATATTTGAAGAGGGATTGTTGATTCCGTCCACTGAGATATATACATTATAAAACACGCTTTGAGGCAATCCATAATTGATATACCATTTTTTGTAAAATTCTAGAGACACAGTCTAGCTAATCGAAATCCAACATGGAGGAGGGGGGCATAGAATAAAGCAGCCACAGAGTCTGCAAAGCCGAAGACCAAAGTGATTGAAGTGGGTGTTCAAATTGGTGAGAATTGGTAAAATGCCAAATGTAGAAAGGGAATGGTTGGATTGAGCAGAAAAGGAGTTATTTGGAGTGGGGTTTGGAAGGTTGGATCAGGAAGTTCGGAATATGACACCTTTGGATTGTCGATACTTATTGAGTAGTTAGCATTGTTGATATCAAGGAAGAGCTAATTAGATTAGCGTTGAATGATTAATCATTCGGTGACTACATGTTTCCACACTGCATCTACTCGAACGATTACGAAGGGGCATTCGGTAAATCTTTAAGGATTTGTGCCGGCCTCTCATTCAGACGGAGTGGTGACGGGTGGGATACGACAGAGCAACGGTGATTTCTTGACTTCACCAGGCATTCTAAGAATTGTAGAAAATTTAATTTTGCATGACTTTATTCAAAGTCTTTTATTATGATGTTTTTAATTGCAATTAGAATGAATGGAATACTTTCCGACCAATTTATTCCAGAAGTGGTTTTACTTATTGCTGATTTTAGCGGCCCATGGACAGGTTCAACAGGACCCCTGACATATGGATGGTAGGCTGTTGTGTGGACGTGGTGTGGAATTAGAGGATGATTCATTTTAAGAAAGAGGACAGATGTGAACAACGATCATCTGCATGGCGTAATTCCTGATAGAACAACAACATTTGTAGGCATTTAGGATTCCACTACACCTTGAGCTGCAGATTCCGATGAAGTTTCACGTTGTGGGATTCCAACAGACCAACACGTCAAACGGTAAATTGAGGTTTATATATGAGTGGGAAAGACCAGGTATTCGAAACCAAAATCTATGCCGCGGATGAAGTGAATGTGCAAAATTAAGGCAAAATTGAAGTATTTCAAAGATTCAGTAGTCAAATCAATGGTATGATCAATATGCTTTGGAGAAAATGTGACAAGGAAAATTGAATGAACAGATGCTTGTCTTTTTGTATTATCATATCGAATTGTGTTTCGGAACATGATCCCATTTAGATGAGATTTGAATATCGCAGAGAAAGACAGAAGTAGAAGTGTAATGATTCTACTTGATAAACGTACCTAGCCCCCTTCAAATGCGGAAATTACAGGAGAACTTCAATGGAAACAAGTACGTTGACCACTACGCCACCTGTGCAATTAATCATTGCCTTCAGTCTCCTCAACTTATTGTAAGAATTGGCACCAAAGCCGCCTGTGTGGAAGTGTGTGTGTTTGTGTGTGTGTGTGTGTGTGTGTGATGCATTTTCATTAGGGATTACTTTGAGCACATATCGTCTTGTATACACCAAACATGTGCTCCAGAACTATTCTAAGATGGAGGGATATTTACAGATTGCATGGATAATCTCCCTAATTTAATTTAGTAGCCAATCGAATCTGAGCACTGAGAACTAAATCCTTCATTCTTAATTAAATTCGCAAATTAACTTGAGAAGATTGTGAGAATTCGTAAACGCAGGACAACGAATGTAGAATTGAACACTACTCTTGTTATCTTCACCATTTCATACTACATCACGTCAGTCAAACTGAATGATTGAGATGTAGTATGCTGGAAGTATAGAGAACTAAGAACTTTGTTAGTTTTCAGTTTAGAAATGAAGCTCTTTCTCATTTTGAAGTCACCAATAAATAAAACGTCATACAGTAATATATTTTCAATTTATTTCGTGTTGCCACGTGACAAATTTGAAATTCTAGTCAAAAGCATGCATTACCTCGTAGAATAGTGAAGTAATTTTCGGTAATCTCTTATCTAAAATGAACTCTTTCAGGTCTTATGTTTAATGGTAAGCAAGAATTAAGTACACGTCATAAAAGTACCATCGATGTCATGGATACAATGAGGCAATTGAAACAATGATCATCGAGGTCAATATGAAGTTGTCTGAACAGATCAATTTGGGATAATGGTATTAACCAGAACACGCTCTTAATTAAACAAATGATTAAGCATTTCAATTAGTGATTTTGTGACATTGAAAGGCCAGAGTTTCTGTGGCCTGCGTCATTACTTTTATTAATGTAATAATACCATGAACTCTAGATTAGTGGCCAAAAATACGAAACGACTGTTTTTAATTCCTCATTGGCAGGATGATTTATATGTGCAAACGCTTATTGGGAAAACAAATCAACAAAAATGCGTGATCAACACGGGTACCCACTTTCTGTCAGATTCTACTGGAAAGGAATATATCTGCACTTCTCAATGAACATCAAGGACATGGGGCTTTAAG